AATTGATTTGCTTGGTTAGTTGGTTGATTAATTGATTGATTGGTTGATTGCCTGGTAGATTAATTGGTTGATTGCCTGGTAGATTAATTGGTTGATTGCCTGGTAGATTAATTGATTGATTGGTTGATTGACTGGTTGATTAATTGATTGACTAGTTGATTGGTTGGTTGATTGCCTGGTAGATTAATTGATTGACTGGTTGATTGATTGGTTGATTGACTGGTTGATTAATTGATTGACTGGTTGATTGATTGGTTGATTGACTGGTTGATTAATTGATTGATTGCCTGGTAGATGAATTGATTGATTGGTTGATTGACTGGTAGATTAATTGATTGATTGGTTGATTGACTGGTAGATTAATTGATTGATTGGTTGGTTGATTGCCTGGTAGATTAATTGATTTGCTTGGTTAGTTGGTTGATTACTTGATTGATTGGTTGATTGCCTGGTAGATTAATTGGTTGATTGCCTGGTAGATTAATTGATTGATTGGTTGATTGACTGGTTGATTAATTGATTGACTGGTTGATTGGTTGGATGGTTGCCTGGTAGATTAATTGATTGATTGGTTGATTGACTGGTTGATTAATTGATTGACTGGTTGATAGGTTGGTTGATTGCCTGGTAGATTAATTGATTGATTGGTTGATTGACTGGTTGATTAATTGATTGACTGGTTGATTGGTTGGTTGATTGCCTGGTAGATTAATTGATTGATTGCCTGGTAGATGAATTGATTGATTGGTTGATTGACTGGTAGATTAATTGATTGATTGGTTGATTGACTGGTAGATTAATTGATTGATTGGTTGGTTGATTGCCTGGTAGATTAATTGATTTGCTTGGTTAGTTGGTTGATTACTTGATTGATTGGTTGATTGCCTGGTAGATTAATTGGTTGATTGCCTGGTAGATTAATTGATTGATTGGTTGATTGACTGGTTGATTAATTGATTGACTGGTTGATTGGTTGGATGGTTGCCTGGTAGATTAATTGATTGATTGGTTGATTGACTGGTTGATTAATTGATTGACTGGTTGATAGGTTGGTTGATTGCCTGGTAGATTAATTGATTGATTGGTTGATTGACTGGTTGATTAATTGATTGACTGGTTGATTGGTTGGTTGATTGCCTGGTAGATTAATTGATTGCTTGGTTGGTTGGTACAGTGACTGTGCTGGAGGAATACATACCTTTAAACCCCAAAATGACTAAAACGTCTAAAACCACAAACAGAACACAAACTGGTTGACGATGTTCCTGAAATGTTTTAGCCTGGGTGACACCTGCTGGTCTATGATTGGCTGGTTTGGGTCAGTACCTGTCCCTTGTTGAGCACCATGATGCGGTCTGAGGCGAGGACGGTGTGGAGGCGGTGAGCGATGGTCAGGGTGGTGCAGTCCTGGAACGACGTCCTGATGGTCTCCTGGATCAGAGCGTCCGTCTCTGCATCCATGGCGGCGGTCGCCTCGTCAAGTATCAGGACCTGAGAGACCATAACTGACCAATCAGACAACAGAAGAGGGGTGGGAGGAGGGGTCAGAGGATGTTCTGGTCATCCATCTCTTACCTTGCACTGTCTGAGCAGAGCTCGGGCAACGCACAGCAGCTGTCTCTCTCCAACTGAGAAGTTCTCTCCGTTCTCCACCACCTCTGACGCCAGCTTCAGGGGCAGCTGGGACACCTGATGGACAGACAGGAAGTCAGACAGACAGGTGATCCTGCAGAAAACACTGCCATTTTGTTTTTTAATTTTGCACTTTTCTATCTGAGAGCTGCTCCATCAGGAAAGGTGTGCCTTTTACTTTAAGATTTCATTGATTAACTGATGGAGTTACAGTTTTTGAGCTCATCTGTTACTGTTGTAAAAGTGTTTTATTTTTACTGAATATACTTTTATTATTATTCCAGAGCTTCAGATCCTCCAATCAAGTACAGAAATCTAAGTTTATTCTTGATTTTTCCCTTTAAACTCATCAGTACGGTTCTTTACTGATTGTTTTAAAGATATAAACTCTTCTTGTAAAGGAATGCATTTTTAAAGTAACACTGCACTTCTTATTGTTTGTACTCACACTCTCCTTCATGTGACTTCTACTCAGAGCGTCCCAGATCTGCTCCTCATTGTACTGCTTAAAAGGGTCCAGATTAGACCTGGGAAAACAAACGCTCATTGATATCACGAGTCATTGAGGTCAAAGTGTCCTTATAGAATAAGCGTTGAATTCTTTCTAGTGTAGAAATGTCTATTCGAGTGAACATCTTCTTGCATCTTATCAGCTGGTCCTCCTAAGCTGTTCCTACCTGATAGTCCCACTGAACAGCACTGGGTCTTGGGGGATAATTGACAGCTTACTCCGGAGGTCGGCCAGACCGATGTCACTGATATCAACACCATCGATCAGGATTGAGCCTCCACAGCGCTCAACCAGCCTGAAAAGAACCACGCCCAGAGACGACTTCCCTGCACACAGACAGACGGAACACAGGCCTGCTCATGGTACCCACGGTCTCCAGATGTACTATAGGAGGTAGAGCCTTCAGTTATCAGGCCTGCTCATGGTACCCACGGTCTCCAAATGTACTATAGGAGGTAGAGCCTTCAGTTATCAGGCCTGCTCGTGGTACAGTCTCTAAATGTACTATGGGAGGTAGAGCCTTCAGTTATCAGGCCTGCTCGTGGTACAGTCTCTAAATGTACTATGGGAGGTAGAGCCTTCAGTTATCAGGCCTGCTCGTGGTACCTACGGTCTCTAAGTGTACTATGGGAGGTAGAGCCTTCAGTTATCAGGCCTGCTCGTGGTACAGTCTCTAAATGTACTATAGGAGGTAGAGCCTTCAGTTATCAGACCTGCTCGTGGTACAGTCTCTAAATGTACTATGGGAGGTAGAGCCTTCAGTTATCAGGCCTGCTCGTGGTACCTACGGTCTAAGTGTACTATGGGAGGTAGAGCCTTCAGTTATCAGGCCTGCTCGTGGTACAGTCTCTAAATGTACTATAGGAGGTAGAGCCTTCAGTTATCAGGCCTGCTCGTGGTACAGTCTCTAAATGTACTATAGGAGGTAGAGCCTTCAGTTATCAGGCCTGCTCGTGGTACAGTCTCTAAATGTACTATGGGAGGTAGAGCCTTCAGTTATCAGGCCTGCTTGTGGTACCTACGGTCTCTAAGTGTACTATGGGAGGTAGAGCCTTCAGTTATCAGGCCTGCTTGTGGTACCTACGGTCTCTAAGTGTACTATGGGAGGTAGAGCCTTCAGTTATCAGGCCTGCTTGTGGTACCTACGTCTCTAAATGTACTATGGGAGGTAGAGCCTTCAGTTATCAGGCCTGCTCGTGGTACAGTCTCTAAATGTACTATAGGAGGTAGAGCCTTCAGTTATCAGGCCTGCTCGTGGTACAGTCTCTAAATGTACTATGGGAGGTAGAGCCTTCAGTTATCAGGCCTGCTTGTGGTACCTACGGTCTCTAAGTGTACTATGGGAGGTAGAGCCTTCAGTTATCAGGCCTGCTCGTGGTACCTACGTCTCTAAATGTACTATGGGAGGTAGAGCCTTCAGTTATCAGGCCTGCTCGTGGTACAGTCTCTAAATGTACTATGGAGGTAGAGCCTTCAGTTATCAGGCCTGCTCGTGGTACAGTCTCTAAATGTACTATGGGAGGTAGAGCCTTCAGTTATCAGGCCTGCTTGTGGTACCTACGTCTCTAAATGTACTATGGGAGGTAGAGCCTTCAGTTATCAGGCCTGTCGTGGTACCTACGTCTCTAAATGTACTATGGGAGGTAGAGCCTTCAGTTATCAGGCCTGCTTGTGGTACCTAGTCTCTAAGTGTACTATGGGAGGTAGAGCCTTCAGTTATCAGGCCTGCTCGTGGTACAGTCTCTAAATGTACTATGGGAGGTAGAGCCTTCAGTTATCAGGCCTGCTCGTGGTACAGTCTCTAAATGTACTATGGGAGGTAGAGCCTTCAGTTATCAGGCCTGCTCGTGGTACAGTCTCTAAATGTACTATGGGAGGTAGAGCCTTCAGTTATCAGGCCTGCTCGTGGTACCTACGGTCTCTAAATGTACTATGGGAGGTAGAGCCTTCAGTTATCAGGCCTGCTCGTGGTACCTACAGTCTCTAAATGTACTATGGGAGGTAGAGCCTTCAGTTATCAGGCCTGCTCGTGGTACAGTCTCTAAATGTACTATGGGAGGTAGAGCCTTCAGTTATCAGGCCTGCTCGTGGTACAGTCTCTAAATGTACTATGGGAGGTAGAGCCTTCAGTTATCAGGCCTGCTGTGGTACCTACGTCTCTAAATGTACTATGGGAGGTAGAGCCTTCAGTTATCAGGCCTGCTCGTGGTACCTACAGTCTCTAAATGTACTATGGGAGGTAGAGCCTTCAGTTATCAGGCCTGCTCGTGGTACAGTCTCTAAATGTACTATGGGAGGTAGAGCCTTCAGTTATCAGGCCTGCTCGTGGTACTACGTCTCTAAATGTACTATGGGAGGTAGAGCCTTCAGTTATCAGGCCTGCTCGTGGTACCACGGTCTCTAAATGTACTATGGGAGGTAGAGCCTTCAGTTATCAGGCCTGCTCGTGGTACCTACGTCTCTAAATGTACTATGGGAGGTAGAGCCTTCAGTTATCAGGCCTGCTCGTGGTACAGTCTCTAAATGTACTATGGGAGGTAGAGCCTTCAGTTATCAGGCCTGCTGTGGTACTACGTCTCTAATGTACTATGGGAGGTAGAGCCTTCAGTTATCAGGCCTGCTCGTGGTACAGTCTCTAAATGTACTATGGGAGGTAGAGCCTTCAGTTATCAGGCCTGCTGTGGTACCTACGTCTCTAAATGTACTATGGGAGGTAGAGCCTTCAGTTATCAGGCCTGCTCGTGGTACCTACGTCTCTAAATGTACTATGGGAGGTAGAGCCTTCAGTTATCAGGCCTGCTCGTGGTACCTACGGTCTCTAAATGTACTATGGGAGGTAGAGCCTTCAGTTATCAGGCCTGCTCGTGGTACAGTCTCTAAATGTACTATGGGAGGTAGAGCCTTCAGTTATCAGGCCTGCTCGTGGTACAGTCTCTAAATGTACTATGGGAGGTAGAGCCTTCAGTTATCAGGCCTGCTCGTGGTACAGTCTCTAAATGTACTATGGGAGGTAGAGCCTTCAGTTATCAGGCCTGCTGTGGTACCTACGTCTCTAATGTACTATGGGAGGTAGAGCCTTCAGTTATCAGGCCTGCTCGTGGTACCTACAGTCTCTAAATGTACTATGGGAGGTAGAGCCTTCAGTTATCAGGCCTGCTCGTGGTACAGTCTCTAAATGTACTATGGGAGGTAGAGCCTTCAGTTATCAGGCCTGCTCGTGGTACAGTCTCTAAATGTACTATGGGAGGTAGAGCCTTCAGTTATCAGGCCTGCTCGTGGTACAGTCTCTAAATGTACTATGGAGGTAGAGCCTTCAGTTATCAGGCCTGCTCGTGGTACAGTCTCTAAATGTACTATGGGAGGTAGAGCCTTCAGTTATCAGGCCTGCTGTGGTACCTACGTCTCTAAATGTACTATGGGAGGTAGAGCCTTCAGTTATCAGACCTGCTCGTGGTACCTACAGTCTCTAAATGTACTATGGGAGGTAGAGCCTTCAGTTATCAGGCCTGCTCGTGGTACAGTCTCTAAATGTACTATGGGAGGTAGAGCCTTCAGTTATCAGGCCTGCTCGTGGTACCTACGGTCTCTAAATGTACTATGGGAGGTAGAGCCTTCAGTTATCAGGCCTGCTCGTGGTACCCACGGTCTCTAAATGTACTATGGGAGGTAGAGCCTTCAGTTATCAGGCCTGCTCGTGGTACAGTCTCTAAATGTACTATGGGAGGTAGAGCCTTCAGTTATCAGGCCTGCTCGTGGTACAGTCTCTAAATGTACTATGGGAGGTAGAGCCTTCAGTTATCAGGCCTGCTCGTGGTACCTACGTCTCTAAATGTACTATGGGAGGTAGAGCCTTCAGTTATCAGGCCTGCTCGTGGTACCTACGTCTCTAAATGTACTATGGGAGGTAGAGCCTTCAGTTATCAGGCCTGCTCGTGGTACAGTCTCTAAATGTACTATGGGAGGTAGAGCCTTCAGTTATCAGGCCTGCTCGTGGTACAGTCTCTAAATGTACTATGGAGGTAGAGCCTTCAGTTATCAGGCCTGCTCGTGGTACAGTCTCTAAATGTACTATGGGAGGTAGAGCCTTCAGTTATCAGGCCTGCTTGTGGTACCTACGTCTCTAAATGTACTATGGGAGGTAGAGCCTTCAGTTATCAGGCCTGCTCGTGGTACTAGTCTCTAAATGTACTATGGGAGGTAGAGCCTTCAGTTATCAGGCCTGCTCGTGGTACAGTCTCTAAATGTACTATGGGAGGTAGAGCCTTCAGTTATCAGGCCTGCTCGTGGTACAGTCTCTAAATGTACTATGGGAGGTAGAGCCTTCAGTTATCAGGCCTGCTCGTGGTACCTACGTCTCTAAATGTACTATGGGAGGTAGAGCCTTCAGTTATCAGGCCTGCTCGTGGTACCTACGGTCTCTAAATGTACTATGGGAGGTAGAGCCTTCAGTTATCAGGCCTGCTCGTGGTACAGTCTCTAAATGTACTATGGGAGGTAGAGCCTTCAGTTATCAGGCCTGCTCGTGGTACAGTCTCTAAATGTACTATGGGAGGTAGAGCCTTCAGTTATCAGGCCTGCTCGTGGTACCTACGGTCTCTAAATGTACTATGGGAGGTAGAGCCTTCAGTTATCAGGCCTGCTCGTGGTACTACGTCTCTAAATGTACTATGGGAGGTAGAGCCTTCAGTTATCAGGCCTGCTCGTGGTACAGTCTCTAAATGTACTATGGGAGGTAGAGCCTTCAGTTATCAGGCCTGCTCGTGGTACAGTCTCTAAATGTACTATGGGAGGTAGAGCCTTCAGTTATCAGGCCTGCTCGTGGTACCTAGTCTCTAAATGTACTATGGGAGGTAGAGCCTTCAGTTATCAGGCCTGCTCGTGGTACCTAGTCTCTAAATGTACTATGGGAGGTAGAGCCTTCAGTTATCAGGCCTCTTGGTACCTACGTCTCTAAATGTACTATGGGAGGTAGAGCCTTCAGTTATCAGGCCTGCTCGTGGTACAGTCTCTAAATGTACTATGGGAGGTAGAGCCTTCAGTTATCAGGCCTGCTCGTGGTACACGTCTCTAAATGTACTATGGGAGGTAGAGCCTTCAGTTATCAGGCCTGCTCGTGGTACAGTCTCTAAATGTACTATGGGAGGTAGAGCCTTCAGTTATCAGGCCTGCTCGTGGTACAGTCTCTAAATGTACTATGGGAGGTAGAGCCTTCAGTTATCAGGCCTGCTCGTGGTACCTACAGTCTCTAAATGTACTATGGAGGTAGAGCCTTCAGTTATCAGGCCTGCTCGTGGTACAGTCTCTAAATGTACTATGGGAGGTAGAGCCTTCAGTTATCAGGCCTGCTTGTGGTACAG